TATCCAAACAGAACTCTTTTTAGATCTTTTGCTTGCGAGAATACATTTTTATTCAAACAAAATACTTAGTATGAAACAATATTATTTGTGAATATATTCTCATATTTGTGAAGATTTTAATTAATTTTTCCATACAACGATTGACAATAGGCCAACCAATAGATACTAGATATAGATACCAGTATATTAAATTTGTTAGTTAGGTACAAAATGTATTTCCTACAAATAATATTAGAGCATGTTTTTTTCAATAACCCACAAACCTCGCCGATGAAGGGAGCTGTCGGCTGCGGCTGGTAGTTCCAATTTAAACTTTGTTACAAGGAACCACTACTACACAGTTCCATTGAATTGTAACTGAAAGCCGGCGAACACTCTCCCGTAGCTCTAAGCTAGCTTAGCGTCGAGCCCTGCACAAAGGCTTTTTAACGTCAAACCATCTTTAAAATAATAATTAATAATAGCAAGTATTTTATATAAAGAATATTAAATGAAGTTTCATTTTGTATTCATTTACGTAACGAGCTTTTTTATAGAATTCGAACATCGGAAATATTAAAACACAAATTAATGATCCTCTTTCATGTTGAAAATATTTTCCGTTAAAACATAGTCGCTTGTTGCGTTCCATCTATTATTATGCTTCAACAATACGATTGCAGAATATATTTTATATTCCGGGAACACATATTTAATTACAAGTCGAAACTCGGATGCGTATGTAGTGGTTACTATTAATTGATACTGACTTATTATTATATAGAAACCTTCTAGGAACAGAACCTTGATTAATTATAGATATAGGTACGTCCCTGTATGGAAAACCACATTGATATACATATATATAGTTTATAGTTTTGTTCAGATCAGCTTTCAAAACGTATAATTAGCTCAAGAGATGACGAAGACGCGTGTGAAGTGGGTCAGATAGTTTTATAATGAGTTTGGAAAAACTGCATCTAAAGTCAAAAGTCGAAGTTTTAATTACAGATTCAATTTTTATTTTAACTATAACAGCGTATTAAAAGTTCTATAAATATCGTAGTAGAAATAGAAATCTTGATCAAAATATTATGCACGTATAAAACGTGAGAGGAGGTTGTATATTTTTCAAAGCTGAATATTGCATGCTCCGATGTTTTTATAGGATATATTTTTAGCTTGGGTAAGTATGGATCAGGTCTTAACCGTATTAGCCGTGATACGTTAAACAACGTTTCACACTCGGCTGTTTTCATTTTATTTTGAAGTTCAGCTTCGCCTCCTCTATAAATATATTTAATGTAATAATTCACTTACATTATCTTATAAACTGATTTTATATTTTAATCTTACGGTAGATATACTTATAAGAACTTCTAACAGTTGATGTTTGAACTGACTGACATATGTCGATTTTCTTTAGGTAATGGGAAATCTGTGTTATTTGCTTCTTATCTTATAAGCAATTAATTATTATTTGATACGTAACAAATAGTTGCAGAACAATGCATATATAGAAAACTTTGGTAACAAGTGAATATTATAATGTAAAATCCTTTTTCTTGCTCAATCCTTTTTAACGCGAAGCTGTGATAGTTGGAGTACGCTCGGCCGACGTGGTCTGCATACGCTAACTGATATTTGCATTTGGACTGCGACATCTGTCTTCAACTATAACAATAAAACATTCCTTACATTTGTAAAGACTTTACATCTAATCTGTATTGACTGTGACTTATTGAACTCCTCTCCATCATCATGAACCCGGACACAAGCCTCTCAATACCAATATGTTACTTTTATATAGGTATAACATATAAACTATGAACAGTCGATTGATTTGTTGTTCGCTTACATTTTAATGAATAGCGTATAGAATATAGATACATTGTTTGTTATACAAAGTAAAATAAAAACAATTACATTATGTGCCTTGTATTTAAATGGAAAAACTGAAGATAATGCTATAATTTTAAATTGAAAGACATTAATATTGTGACTGAGCTTTCTTACACTAAGAATACTTTTCAATTCCAACTATAAGCCGTTTATGACAACAATCATGTATAATCCTTGTAGCTTCATACTCGTAGATAATATTCATTGTTAGACGGTTTCCAATATTAGTACATGAGTGAGACAATGAACTCTGATAGACGCTCAGGAACCTGTGCCGAATTAATTTTCTCTCCAATTAAGTTGACATTGTTGCTAGTAATCAGTTTATCGGAGCTACAGAGCTGAGAGCAGCGGCTTCTGCAAGTATGTAGGTACTCTACTAAAATAATATAAACTTGAACAGTTCCGTTCTGTTCGACTAACTAGGAACTGATTAGTTTTTACCTTAGTTGTATCGGAATTTGTATCGAGTTTTAATGAGTGGTTCATTCTCAGTTAGTAACTTGGGAAAGAACTGCACTTTGTAAAGGCGACGGGGTGAGGTTGGTTGGCGTTATGATATGATTAAACATCAGTTCTATTACTTGTTTAAAGTTCCTCACACAAACGATACTACATTTTGAATTCATTTTCGATTCTTACTTCTACTTTTGTTTGTTTTATCGAATTAGGAGTATGAGGCTTGCGATATAACAGACTATATACCTACATATATATACATATATCTCTTATATAATATGTAACTATCAGTAGGTACATATGAGACACAATAGTAAATCTAGTTCCAATAGTTATAGGTTCCAATTCTTCAATAATCCTTTGATCGACATATTTTTCATTAAATAAAGTTTTAAACTGGACTTTGGTTCAATGTTTGAAAAGTAATTATTGGATTTCCTTTGAGCTACTCGTCTCCGAGCGGGAGACATTTTTATAAAGCCACTTTCATTTCATATTTTATTCGGATGCAACGTTACAAAGTTTCTGATTCCTGATGCGACACACACAAATCACATTTTCCGTAACACGATTCATGACATTTCCCCCGGAAAGTGGCGAATGGAAAAATCTATGCCAATGGCTTTAGATACATCGCTTTGGAAATTATAATAAGAAAGGCTTTGTATTATTGTAACTGTACTCTTTGAATACTCATATAGTGAATATTTTACGAGTTGTATATATAGGGATAAGACCTTTTTATTAATGAAGTTTAAGTTGAGATGTTTTTCAGTCCGAGCGCTATCTATCGCTGTTCTTCTCACACTAATGCTCCTCATCTCCTGAGGTACCTGGCGTACATATGTCTCAAATCAGTCTAACATAATTTAATTGTTAGGGTTAGTTACCTACAACACACAATATATAAATATCCTGCTATAGATCCGACGATATTAAATCGTATGAAACAAAATTACAACTGACACAATTTTTTGTCAAACAAAATGTGATCAAGAAAGCAGAGTTATAATGGTCTCTATGATTTAGTGAATTAAAAATATATAACACAAAATTTAAAACCTATTTAAGTTCGACATCGGAAATACTTTTTTTCAAAAATTATTAAAACAGTATTTCAAAATGTTTCATGAAGTATTTGCAAAATACAAAATATGAGAGATTTTTCAATATGTTTTCTTATTTTCCACCGATAAAGCCAAAATCATTTTATCTATCAACCTGCTTACCAAGTCTTGCACTTGACGAAAGTCTGTTATCATTTTTGAGGCGTAATATCTAGTAGTACCTATAAAGAGTAAGGGAACATGAAAGATGAAATCTTTAAACTATTATTAAAATCAGTTAGATAAGTAATAAGGTATTTTAATTTAAAAACCTATCTTGTAACTGCGTATTTTCAATTTAAATACCCTTATTATTAACCATTTACTTGTATTTAAAGAGTTCATTATACTAAAACATATTTGTTTTATTTAGCCAATATTTGGATATCATGTTTCTTTACCCATTACATCGTATAGAACAGATTGTCACATTACAAATCATACAAAATAATTCTTACTGGTTGAATGGAAATTTATGATTTTCTTAACTTAAATTCAATTGAATACATCTTAACCAAGTTTATTGTATATTAATTTTCAAGGCCGGGATCGTTAAAATCAAATAGTTTTAGAATTAATATTTAAAGTTTCCATTTTTCATTACATTAAGTACATCTTTTTATTTTAAATCTTTCAATTAATCGTACTGCAAGGGTGTACATAATATCGTTAGTGTGTGTATGTATCGGTAGTAGGGACTCCCTTCTCTAATTGAATGCATCTGTTCACAATGAAGATCTGAATAATAAGTTTGTCCAGTTTTTAATACTTTAAAGGAAACTAATACAAACTAACACTACCTCACTCTGCAGTATCTACTAAATAGTAATTAGTTTAAAAACGTCTCCATCACCTACACCTCTGCATTTTGGATTCACATATACCTAAAGATGATTTGAACTCTCAAATAACCAAGCTATCAAAAAATCTATTCTATATACCGCTAATGAAACAATACATTTCATGTTATAAACCGATTGACGTTGTTTTTTTTTTCTTATTCGCTTCGACAATTGGAAAAAAAAGTAAATATCAAGAAGTGCACAAGTCGCAAGAACTAAAACAAACTTTGTAACAGCTTTCAAGTATAGATCCAGCAGACAAATAACAATCAAAGATATTTATACTTTGGTGTAGAATATAATAGAATTTGTTATACTTTGTTGTAGAATGTTTTAATATTCATCTAGTGTTGTTGATACTCCATTGATTTCTAATCAAAATATAAGTATACCTACTATTACTATACTTATACGTTAGGTACAAGTAAATACTGGAAGTTTGTAAAACATATTAAAATTCTCAAGTGGCGTCAACATTGAACTAAAATATTATCAAGTTTTAAATTTTGTTGAAGACAAGGAGAGCGTGCACCGACCACGCTGGTTCAATATTTGATAGATACCTACATACCTACATAACACTAAAACTTACATATACATATGTACTTGTACCAATCGATTTTAAGGTTAGAATGTGAGATATGGACAGCATTTAATAAAATATTTTTTAATGAAATAAACATTGTATTAATATGTGATTTTTGTTCTGCAGGCGCATTTTTAATTCTTTCTTACCCTCACTTCCTGTACGCGGACTTCACTTATAGGAATGGAGTCATAGGAATGAAGCCGTTTGAAGAACAACACAGGATCTTTGTTGATTTGGAACCAGTAAGTACATTAACAATATAAACACGGAACCCGCATTTATATTAAGATTATATATAAAGGACTTTTTGTTAAGATTTCAAGTGTTTTAAAAAATTTCAGAACATATTGTAAACATACACATGTAATAATCTGTCCACAACATAATAGCCACAGCCACTGATAATAATTTTATAGTTAGTTTCACATAAACTAAATGATTTGATTATTAATTTATGTCTCTTGACTTTCCTTTGCTTTATATATCTGTATGTATATGTTAACAATATTGAAACACTATCAAATGAGCCATAAGTATAATCATCCACCGAAATTCAAATCCAATCAGGTAATAATCCCATTAACACACAAACTCGTCTATATGTAGTGAGTGTATATACACAGACCGCTGTATAATAATTAGTTTGTTAGATCTAGTCAACATCTAGTACATGCTAAGTAAGTATCGAGTTGATGAGGATGTATTAAAACTTATGCTGTTTCGTATCACTGTAGACTGGGTATACTATTTCATTAAAAACAAATACCCATATAAAATGTATTACAAATAATAATAGAACATTTATATGTATTTGTGATTATCTCTACGTCTTTTGTGATAATTTAAAGAAAATTTAAGTACTTATCTTGTATCTAATAATTGAATTATGAAAGAAAGTTGTTTTTTTTTTTTCAAGAACACGGGAACTGTCATCAGAGGGATGAAGCGGGCTCAGTTCAACGTGTTCATGAGACCAGTAACAGGTATAAGCAGTACTCAGAACCTTAGGACCACGCTCATGCCGATATTCTGGGTGGAGGAGGTGGGTTGAAGTCGCATTGATATTGTGTTTCATAAGTTTAAAAATCCCTGACTTATTAAATTTTAATTCTTAAAAACAAGTAGCAAAGCTTCTATACGCCTGTACATAATAAATATTTATTACTTTTAACCTCTGCAAAAAGGAACTTCGTTATTGTTATTGCTTGATAATCACGACAGTAATCCTAACAACTGATATTCTTTACTGATAACACTATTTAATATATTTATAATTGTTATCTATTTTTACATATATAGTGATATATACCTAGTCGTGTAAAAAAATAGATAACAATTTTGTACTGTTATTTAAAAGTTTCTAAACACAGAGGGTCTTAAAGTTCTTATTTGTACTTATAGAACTCTTACATTTGGGAAGCTGTGACATATAAATAAAAAGAAATCTTTTAACAATATATTCTGGAGGTGCTCTAAAATCATTGAAAGTGACTTTAATATATATTTAATCATTCATCTTTTAACACAGGGTATGCAGTTGCCTGAAGACTACGTAGACCTGTTAACAACTCGTATGTTGAACCGACTGCGTCTCGTTGACATCTTGATCCCGGTGCTGATAACGCTCTGCGCCCTCGTCGCCGTGCTGGGAGTGATCATCCTCATACGAGTCAGATACGTGAAGAGAAACATCAAGAATAATAAATCATCCTCCTCAATCACCCCCACTAGTAATACGGTTGACAATTAGTTTAAGATTATTTGAAGGACTTTTAATTGATTTGTTTCACAACAAGCACTAGTACTGATTGCCTGTAACTGTTTGTTGTTGGGTAAGAGATTGCACATGTTTTAAAACTCGTTGTTGTTGTTATTATTAAATAATAAAGTACTTATTGAGTGCCATTTGTTTATATACCTCTCATTATTACTTTAGAATTTTATACGTCGACAATATATGTACATACGAAACAGAATTAGTCAGTTTATTGGTAATTCTCTTGTTAGTAAATTATAAAAGGCTGTATCGGTAAATGTCAGGTTCCTTTTGTATATAAGGCTAAAACTTAGTGTACATATTAATGTCTAGATAGATTTAGTATTCATTCCGGATGAAATTAACGTCGTCAAAACTTATCAAATATGCTTTCTCTGTCATGATCCTTATGAATGCAGTAATCTCTATTCAAACACCTATCTTTCATGATCAATATAACAAACAAGTCATTTTTACTTGTTGCTGCTGCTGTGAAATCGATTTTAAATTAATAAGTTTAGTTGTGATTGACTGATTTATGTATGACATGCTTCAAATCTTTCTCAATTTTATTACCCACGTATTATACATGGCCTCAAGTTAGATTTCAAAGAAAGATATTCAGAATACTGGATTTTACTGATATAAGCACTCATATTACTCATTAAGAAAGCACTGAAAGGCACGATTCGTATGTTTAATTATTAAGTTATTATTATAAAAGATCTCGGACGCCTTTTTTATAATATATGTTACTCATAAGCTCATTCATACTAGGTTAAACCAATTTTATTATTTACTAGAAGACCTGGCGAACTTCGTATCGCCCTGTAATCAAGAAATATCTATTACGTTTTTTTATTTATATTTTGGGAGTTTACCTGTAAGCCATAAATCTCCGTGTTTTGAAGTGAGACAGAATGATTGACATATTAGTTAGTTTTCAAATCTAATGTCAAAAAAACGTTTGTATGGGAAATAGGAAAAGGCTGTTTTTATGGTTTTCCCAGTAATGAATAAATTTTTTTCAGCTTTTATACCTTCCTTGAACCTCCACGAACATTTCAAGACTAAGATAAGATAAATCCGTTCAGCTCTTCTCGAGTTTTAGCGAAACTAAGGAACAGCAATCCATTTTTATATATATAGAAGATTTTAAGACATGTTAAGTTTGCATGATTAAAATCAGATTTTAGAAGTATCCAAAATTTTGTTTATATTATACCACCATAAATTTCTGACCATATATTGCATGTCGCATGTCTGGCTTCGGAGTAAGAGTGTGAAAGAGGTTCGTTCTAAAAGCTAAGGCCACTAGTGATGCCAATTGGTCTCCGCGTCTCATTTATATACTTACTCAATCCTGCTAATGCTCTGTATCTGTGAGCGTGCGTGCACGTCGTGAAGCCCAAAGAAAGATTTACATCTTTATATATTTCTTTGTCCAGTCAAGATTAAGTCTAGTTTTAATGAATAATATGAATTTGAATTCTAATTTATTTGAACTTCCATTACGTTTACTTCATACATAAGGTATATTTGTCGAGCAGTGTCTGTGTAAATAAATAGTCTTTCTCATAAAAACAAAAAGTACTCAAACTTAAATGGGGAGAATGAATACATTGTGAAAGATTGAAAGACTTTTTATTGATATACCACATATATTTTAAAGTATATATTGTAATCCTTAATTAGTTCCAAAAATTTCAAAGAATTCCGAAAAACTTTCATGACTTCATTTTGGGTAGGAAAACAAGATCTTAAAAGTAGACATCGCATGTCTTAGAGCTAACCAGTGATGATAGTCAAATATAGAAAGCTCCTCTACTCGGCTCTCGCCAACGTATATTCAATGCACTTAGCAATAATGATGAATTGTCATTGAGAACCAAGTAAGGATTCACAGAAGATTGTTGGCTACAGACAATCTTAAAATACACAGTACACATCAATCGGATATAATTGTGGTTCAAGATATAATAGTAATCGTATTTTAAACAGTTTAATAAATAAATCTACCTTACACATCTATTACATTTACTTTGGGACACTACACAGAGCACAGATATAAGATGGGATGTAATGCTGACAAAATTAAACCATACCTCTAAACATTGAGCTTTATTATAAGACAAATGTCGCTCAATCCATTCGTTAAAATAAGTCTTCATTGAAATGGAAATAAAATCACACTGCACGAGGCTGATAAGGTGGCTGTAGAATTTGCTTCTACCCCCGGACTAGATACGAACAATAACTAAAGCTTGAGATTTCACGTGTTAATTGACTACTCAAAAAAATATAATGTATAAAAATAGTTAACAAAATCAAAATGACCCAACACCCAGACCCCGTTACCAGCCCCTCACGAACACTTTCATATATATATAAATTCATCTCTAAATAAAGATATTTAAAATAAGATACGAGTAAATAAATATATTTCAAATAAAAAAAACGGAACTAGAAGCGAAATACAAAACGAACAGCCTGTTGACTGTTGATTAGCTGGCCAGGAGACGAGGTGACGAGAGTACATGTATACAATGATTAGAAACACGAAACTGTTGAACCGGCACCGGCCACTAGCTGACCGGCCGTATATATGTATCATATTATATACTAAGAGGGTTCGGGGTAGTTTAGGCTAAACATTTATTAATATGTTTGTTATATAGTGTTATAATATTATATTAAAAGTGGAATTTTCAACTACTTTATATACATGACGCTGCAACATAAAAGAAAACACAGTCAAATTAAAGTGAAATAAAATATACTCAATTATATAAAATTATAACGATGTATTTCATTCGTAACTGAAACTTCATGCCAAATCTTTGAAAAAACTTCAATGTAATAAAATAATATGTTTAAAGGAAAAATAATAGAACTGCGCAGGCGCAGAATAAAACAACAGTTCCATCGTCGCCCTCCGCGACTATCAAACAAATGATCAGAAGAAGCGCTGATAAGATTAAAGTGATTGTATTTCGTAAAAGTTCCTCTAATAGACATTAAATTAGCGCTGATGCTGCTATCTACTTCTAACCCTAAAAACATCTATGCTTTTAGCTCATGTTATATTAATAAACAATGATCCACTGACATCCTTCAAGTAATATTATGTTACGAATATGATATAAAGACAATGTTAAAATCATACCAAGAGGTCACGGAATCATACAACTTCAAATTATATATAATACACTAAAAAATTCAACTAGATCGATGCGAGGGCCGCTACGAAATGAACCGACTCAATACAGACCTCACGGCCCGAGGGCTCTTAGAAATTTAACTAAAATATACTATAAAAGATGTACAGTATTTACAGAACAGAAATCAATTAAACTTAAGACTTAAAAGGTTTCTGGTCAAGACGCCACGAGCGTGACATTCATAAAGAGTAAGTTATATTATGTACAAGATATTTACAAAGGGCGAGCGTGTCTACTCGAGGACCGCGGAGCGCTTGTCGTCGTTCCTCTTGCGGCCCTTGGCGTGCGCCAGCATGGTGACCAGCTTCTTGTGACTGTCGCCCACGATCCAGCCGTGCTGCTGCGGGTGCTCGTGCTCCTCCTCGCCGTCCGACCAGTACGACGAGCCCCGCGGCCGGGAGTGCCCCGCGCCCGACCTCCTCCCCTGCACCACGCACGTCTCCCTCTTCCTGCCTCTCTTCTTCCTCCCCACACTCGCCACCACCGACTCCACACTGTTCGGACGCGCCGGAGTTCCGTCTTGTTCCGACTCTGAACTCCAGCTCTCAGCGAGCACGTTCTGTTTGCCGACGGTACACTTGCGCCGCGCACGCTGCACCGCCACTCCACCGTCGTCGGCCGCTAGGGCCCTGCCTGCCGATTCTGTACCGGAGTCGTAACTCTTCTGTCTAACGTCATGTGACCTTCTCTTTGAACTCGATTTCTCTTTTGTAACTTTATCCCTTGATCTATTTTTTTCCGGTGAAACCTCTTCGATTTTTCGATGCGAAGAGTAGCTGGGCTCGGGAACGGTGAAATCGTCGTCATCTGATGATGAATACTTGTTAGAGACGACTTGTGATGACCGTGCGTAATAGTCGAGCGACAAATCTTTTCTATATGTACTTCCGTCCGTTTTAGAACAATGTCCATATTCAAGAGCACGGAGTGCATTGAGATCCAGTTTTCGTGGCGGAGTTGCTGACTTCCTTTTCTTAGAAGATGATGTCAAGAAGGAAGCGGCTGAGGTCGATGGTATAGGATCGTATATCTGCGATGGTCCCGCCTCTTCTAAGTCCGTCATTTCATGTTCATTTTGTTTTTTGTTAACTTCTTCGCTTACAAGCGACGTACTTGGCGATGGCTCTAAGTTATCTTTCTTAGATATATCAGACTGATTTCCGTCTTCAAGTAAGCTGTCAAACAATTGGTCCAGATTAGCTTGAGGTTTCACCGTCTCTCTGCTCTTTGATCTTTTGCGTTCAAATCGTACAGCGTTATTTTTGAATATTTTTCCCATAACGGCATTTTTCTCGATGACATCTTTTCTTTTAAGGGGAGATGTTGGCTTTTTATATTCGAAACTGCTTCCTTTAACCTGACCAAAGTCACAAGATAGGACACTATTTTCTGTTTCATCATCGCTACAAACGTAATCGTCAGACATGTATACAAAGTCATCTCCGTCTGAAGCACTTTCACTCGAAGCATCTGGTATTTCTGGAGCCTGCGAGGCCTTCGAAGTACTCGGTGACTCTTTGTTGCTAATACTTCTAAACCTTTCCATTAAAGTGGATGGTCGGAATTCGAATAGTTCTGTATCTTCTGTGTCCATGAATTCATAAACATCGACGTTCCTCTTAGGGGAGTCTCTGTTCCTGCGATGATATTCTCCATCGTGCTTACCGCTTCCATCAGAACTTTTCCTTTCTTTTTTCTTCTTGGACCTATTTTTCTTCTTTCGTTTACCTGAGCTTCCTACTGCGGGGACGATAGCAGACATGTTTATATCGGATTTGGGAATTGATACTTTTATTCCATCGAAGCCCTTTAGAGCACCTTTAGTAGGAACGGCGTTGTGATTCTTTTTAGAGCTTCGTTTGGCTTTCTTTTTCTCAGACTTTTTGCGTTCTTTATGGCTGGAACACGATAAAAACAGGGTTATTATAAATAATACTACAGATGGAAATAAAATATAAATAATATCATACCTGGAATTGGCATCAGACATTGTTTGCATTTGTTTTGCCGCCGCTGCCTGTGATCTGCATTTTCTTTTTATTTTGTCAAATTTATCCTCAAAAATATCGAAGTTTTCAACAACGTCTGGTAAAACTTTTTCTTTGACTTCAAAGTGTCTTGTATCTTTACTTGTGCTGGGTCCCGCTATAGGCTCATCAAAGGCTTCAACTGGTTGGTGATTGGAAACGGGCATAATATTCTTTTCATTTGCACCCACTTCTCTGCCCTCTAAAGGCCGGTTGTCAATGCTAGCGGCCCCCTTAAAACCGTTTCCTTCTTTGAGTCCTGATATTAAATCGTTTTCTAAGTTTCGAACTTCTTCACTTTCCATTATATTTTGGGCTGTAACCTCATCAACGTCGTCATCATATTTTTCATCTCTTTCATCCATACTTCTTTCTAGCTCAGCTAACTCTTCCTCACATACTAATAAACAGTTATAACTGTTGCAGTTGCGACGTCGGTTGTACGTCTCATTTTGATGTGACTCTTGTAACATTTCGCAGCAATCGACGAACAAAGCTTCATCTCGACTTAACACGCGCCGGGCAACAATCTGTTCCTTTATGGCTCTCTTAACATCTTCTATAATATCTGTCAATGTCGGTGGAGCTGCCTCTGCTGGTGGCAATGGTGTTTTCCTTCTTATTTCAATTTTTTCCCGCACAATTTTCAATCGATCCAATTGCTGTTTAAAAACTATTAAAAAGTTCGGCCCGTCTTTTGAAAATGTCTTATTATCTGGGTCATCATCCGACAGTCTTGAAATATGGTATAATGTTATTTGGTGTCTCGTAAAGTTATCGGACCTCCTAAACATTCTCTTACACACATCACAAAATGCTGGTTCAGGTGGCGGATTTTTCCGTTTTCGACCTCGTTTCCCCGGTATTTTCTTGACCTCTACACCTTCTGAATTAACTCCTCTACTCCCGCCCACTTTCTTCACGGACCAAGATTTGTTGTTAACACGTTCTAATGATGAAAAATACACTTCATCATTTTCGGTAGCTATGATATGGAATGTTTCTGCTATTTTTTTCGATGCAAGGAGATTAGATTTACGAGGTTTTCTTTCTGAGAAAAAGCCGAAGCTTTCTAGAAATTGTTGTGAGCGTATTTCATCTTCGACGGTAGTAGTGTCGATAATACTTTCAACTTTTGGACTTGAGGAATATATTCGCTTCTTTCTACCGCGAGTCTTAGTTTTTCTTCGTACAGGACCTCTTCTACATCTACATTCACCATCAGGATCTTGAGATAACAAAAGATTCCTCTTTTCTTTCTCTATTGCATACTTTTTCAATGGCTCATCACTCTTCGAAGATTCATCGGTATCGCTATGGGACTCTTTGGTTAGAGATTCACAATTAGTTACATTAGTCTCTTTAGTGTTTGTTGTCGAATCACTAGTTGTCATTTCTGAATGATTATCAATTTTGTTGGCTTCAAGATTATCATCAGTAGAGTTCTGTATGCAAGGAGAGGGTGAAATCTCGCTTAAACTTTGATTATCGCTTGAAATTGATTCCTTTGAAACCGTGACACTACTTTTAGAAGTAATTTCTTTTCTTATAAACGGTTCCGTCTTTTCAGCCATATCTTCCAAATCTATATCATAAGGATCGTATAATTTTACTCCTGACGATTTAACAACAACAGATTTAGATCTTATACGACGCATTGGTTTATTATAGCAGGTGGTATTTTTAACAACAGAAACCGTTTTAGTTTCACTCATCTGTGTTTCCGTTAATTGCTTCTCTTCGCCTTCTTCTTTTTCAGCTGTTCCTAATTTACTTTTTTTGTCATTATCAACTTTACATTTCTTTGGTTTAGAACTTGAAACTATTTGTTCCCTAGAAGGAGAGATTGACTTCCTCTTTGCAGTTGGTGCATTATCTACTACATTTTTATCATCTCCATCTGATATGGGAATCAAATCTACTTTGGCACTGTCGACACTAGGTGCTTCAGGTGGTTTTATAGCCTTGTTAGTAACAATGCTGCTTTCTATACTGAATTTAGAGTCACTTCGTGATCGTTCGATACGGATGTCTATTCTAGCTTGTACAGATGTTAGAGCCCTCTTCTTTTTGTAATTTCTTTTAGAGCGAGCCAACTTCTTACGTTTTTTTGATGTTGTATCTACTACACCGTCATACTCGCTACCACTTGAACTTCTCGATGATTCGCTATAGATTCTACGTTCAGATACAGCATCTTCATCTAAATCATCACCATCGACTGTAGGATTTGAAGAAATTATATGTCTTGGACTTGAAACTGCTCTATGCTTTTTTTCATGATCCAGAAGAGAATTTTCAGTTTCACTGTTATTATTTTGCAAAGATTGTGATTTTCCTCGCTTGCTTTGCCTAGCTGTGGCTTCAACATCTGAAGAAAAGTTTAATTTTGGCGTTTGTTTAGAATTTACTTCTTCTCCCTGACTTAATGTGTCTTCCTTTTGGTTTGTTTTATCTAACAGTGCTTTAACGTTTTCTTTTCGCGAATGTCGATTTGATTTTGAATTTTCAATAGTTCCATATTTTAATAATGCTGACTCATTTCTTTCAGAAACATTGGCTTCCATTTTAGTCGAATTAAGTGCAGAAAGACTTGTAAGACAGTTTTCTGATTGTTTCACAGTAACTTCCACTTTATCACTGGAATCACAGCTTTCTTTGATTGTGATAAATGCATTTATTTTAAGAGAATTTGGTTCTATAGATTCATCCAATAAATCGTGAGTATCAGTCCTTACAACTTTGTCTAGATCAGTTTCTTTGACAATTTTAGAAGTTCTATCATTATTCTTTTCAGCAATTTTTAATGAACTTGATTCTTCTACATGTTTTTCTGTATTTATGACCTCGCAATTAATACTATCTTCTTTGTTTACTTCATTTTTGGGTATAACTGATCGATTACATTCTTCGTCTTTGTTTTCAAAATACTTTGTTTTTATCGTTTGTTGCGGAGACCGACCTCTTTTGCCTTTATATTTATTAAAAGACTCCTCTTCGATTTCTTTGGATAGTTTATCTAAATGTTCATGTTGTCTTTTCGCTATTGTTTTATTTTTAGATCTTTGAGAAGGCTTTGTTTCTTCAAAGCTTACGTAATCAGAATCATTTAATTCGACTATATTCTTCTCTTCACTTATAGATTTAGCATCAAAAGATGAATTATATGTCATTGTTATTGATTCAATTTTGCTATCTTGCCTTTTATCTTCATTTTTGTTTTCAAAACCTGGTTCACGGCCAGTATCAATTAAAATTTTCGAATCTGTACTTTGGAATGTTTTTTCAGTTGTTAAATTAATATCTTCAGAATCATCGCATATATGTATCACGCCCATCTCGTCGTTTATATATTCACATTTTTTAGTTTTCTTATAAGACATAGATGTTACGTCAGTGACTATATCTTTACTTATTTCATTCTTATTTAAGCCAAATTCTTTTTTCTTAATTGGATTTATTGAAGCATCCACTAAAGTCTCTGTAATTTCTAAAGACTCCTCATCATGTAGAATTGTAATAACATTTTTGTCATCGCCTTGGAAAGGGGTAATTAAGTTAGGCTTATCTTTAGAATCTTTTTGATTTATATCATTTTGAATATTTTTTGGAATGGATAATTTATTATAGTTCACATCGGCACGTATATCTTGAGTGTTGTTGTTATTCACGATGACATTTCTATTCCTTTTATAATCTATCGAACTTTCTATTCGTTGCATTGTTTGTGTCTTTTGAGTATCAATATCATTATTTTGAACTACGTCATTAACTTGCCTTATTTCTGTTTCAATATGATTTTTTGTTGTGTTGTTTTCCGGCAGTATGACTCGATTTCTTTCATAGGGCGTTTTAATTCGAACTGCTCTCAAACTAGCAGTTTTGTCATTATTTACTTTATTACAAGTTTTATATGAAGTATTCAAAATGGAATGGTCTTTCGCAATCTCGTTATAATGGTTAGATTCTAAATGGTTTTCAGTTTCACTCGAGGGTATCACATCATCACCAGTTAAATCAATAACCGGGTCTTCTATTATTTCGTTATCGAAATGAGCTAACCTTTTTGAGATATTCCTATTAACTTCCTTTTTATCAAATTTAGAAATATCTAGGCGTAATCTGTCATCTTCGTTGGACACACGTCTTTGTCGCATGCTAGTTTTCATTTCGTCCATATCATGAGCCTGAATCGCATGGCGTTCAGATAACTGCGGAGTTGGTGGTGTTAATAGTACGGAACTTGAAAGCGAGATATCAGGTGCTTCTGGATATCCTGAGGTAGGTGAAGTATTACATAACACAGAATCTTCACTTTCTTGAACGCCGCTATTCTTTGAAACAGCATCGATACATTTTTCATCAACAGACTTTGACCTTGGAGATTCAGTAGACTCAGATGCCGTCGCGGTCGACACATATTGCGGTAATACGTTTAGAAGTTGATTACGGTGATCAACCGGCATAGTGCCTAAGATTTCAACTAGCTCTTTTGGTAACATAGCTATTTTTCTAGCCGTTTCTGGATCCGCTTCTAAATTTGAATTGTTTGTTGTTTTCTTGTTAATTTCCACAACTTTGCAATTTTGGTCATCCTTTGTTGTTAAGAGATTCTGTGTGCCCCTTTTATCTTTCGTGGGTGTTTCCTGGATCGAAACTTTATTTCCGTCATGCAATTCTTCGTTTTCTTTACGAATTTCAGAAACATTTATTTCCAGACAATCTCGTTTATCAAAATTTATGTTATTATTTTGTACCGCAGTCATTACAGGAGGTTTGGAAACAGTCGTAGCAGAAAGAGTCGATTCACTAGGTATTGTATGAATTGGAGTATTTACGGCATATGTGGATACTTTAGAAACTGGCGGGCGATGCATAACGTCACAAATGTTACTGCTGTCCGGGCGGCATTCAATTCGACCAGAATTCGTAGTTAAACTCAAAGGTACATCTGAATATGAGTATGATATAACTTCGTTGCTATGGTCTACACTGTGATCTTCTAATGATGAATTATTATTTGAATAATCGTGAATAACGGGAGCAGGAGAGATTATTCTTGAATTAGGTAGTTTTTGACATTGTTCCTCAAACCTATCCGATTCTACGGCGTATGAAGGCGGTATGATTGTTCGATATCCTGAATTATAATGCAGATTTATAATTTCATTGGAAACATCGTGTGACTGCTGCCTGTTCATACCATCGTGGATAATCAAACCATCGTTTATATTCATAGCCTGTGCTCCTCTGATGTATTGAACATTTTGAACATCATTTTTTCTTCCAGATAAATCTGCCGGGATATTATTATCCACAGGAATCGGATTGTTTCTAAAAACGTTAAGGTACATATCTTGTTGTTCTGTTAAGCAAAGGGACGTAACATCAGGACGGCTCTGGAGTCTATTCTTAGATAAATCAGTTGGTAATTCAATATTATGTATGTCTTCCCTCATTGGCGCCATTAGACAGACATTGTCTTCATGTCGGACGGGTTGTGATAAATCCTGGACATAATCTACTTGTGTCATGCCTTCTACGCCCCGCTCATATGATTGGAAAGGATAAATTCTCCTTCTTACGGATAAATCCGTCGGCGTAAAGTCATCTACGCGTACTATAGACAGATCGGTTGGACCTTCTTCAATGTCATTATTGACTATATCAGGTGGGATTAGCGCAAGTCTAGAGGCTGGTGGCGAATGAGGAGAATATCTCACACTCAAATCAACCACTACCTCGTTGTTGATGTCAGTTTCTTTAACGACTTCATTGTTCAAGTCTCTATTTGACAGGTCTAGAGTCTCGTAGGTTTCATAATTAACGTGACATATCGGTGTTTGAGGTAAATATTGATAAGAATTATCGGCGCTGGGTATGGCTGGCGCATTATTAGACAAGTCGATTGGAGCTGTAACAGTTTGCTCATATGGTATGGCGTACAACGCTTGAGGTACACTGTTATTCGCAGAGTACTCTATAATCTGTGGATTTTGCTGGTTTATGAGAAGCATCGGTTGTTCTTCGGGCACTTTATTGGAATGTGGTATATCTCGTTCTAAACGCACATTAACACTTTCATCTTGCGGAGCAGCCAAAGCCAATGTGCAACAATCTAGATTTTTATCAGAAACAGGTATGTATGTAGTTAGGTTAGCCGGCGTGTGATGTATATACTGATCACTTTGATTGATGACGGGGACCGGCGTCGTATCCTGTATATTTATTTGATTCGTTTGTTGAGAATCAGCGCGTGTACGTCTACCTCGTGGAGTTCTTTCACGACTCTTTGGGGGCTCCTTTGGTTTAGGTTTTGGTATTTCACTTGCTCGTCTCCTAGACGTTGGTTTTTGGGTTGTGTCACGACCCTTCTTCTTATTCGGCTTGTATGGTATAGCAGCCAGATTAGAATAGTGATAGTCAGAAAGGTTTTGTAATTCTCTGTTACTTTTATTTAGAAGCTCTAAATTCATATACGCATGCTGCAGTAAAAATTCATCAGCTGGAGTTAGTGACTTGCGTCGCACAGGTTGTCGTTTGGCGTTTTGTGAAGAGAACATTTGAGGTTCATAATAATATTGTTTCCAATGAATATAATCGTTACCCGATTGAATGTCGTACGATTTATCCCTACAAGAGTTTGTTCTTTGACGTGTACTTGTAGATCGACGTCGTGTAGGCCGCTTCGGAACACTTTGATTTTCCGCAATGTTTTGTTGAGGAACGTCCGGGTAAAGCATTTGCAGCGATCTTCGAGTAGAGTCGTTATTGGACTCAGTGGTGGAGTGTCTTCGTTCTATAATAACAGGCTCCGGTCCTAAAGGTTCATCACTGCCGCACTGCACGGATACGTGACCTGGTAGAGTGTTGGAACTTGGCTCTTCGAGCTTATTTTTCAGCATAGCTATGCAGTCATTTAATCCTTTACGCGGTTTATTCAACTTATTCTTCTGAAGCTGCGAGTCCATATACGTTTGATGGTCGAAGTGCAAAGGAGGTTTGTCTAACTTCGTAACTACAGCTTCGTTTTCAAAAAGCATTCTCTGCTCAGATTGTACATGATTGTTGATGTTATTGCATTCTTGTTGCACCAAGAACATATGATGAAACTGAACAGACTTATCGTGAGTCTCAGAACTTGCTGTCAAACTAGCAATTGAATGCTTTAAAGGAATGTTCTGCGATGGAGCGAAAGAATCTCTTGAATTGTTATGTTGTTCCATGTAACCCGAGTTATTATTGTCTCTGTTGTAAGAGCCATTATTGGATCCGTTACTATGTTCTCTGTAAGATCCATCCCCTCCACTATTCATGGACACTCTGTCTGAATTGTTATTTGTAGTAAACTGTATGATTTGATTATTTCCTTGGCCGCTTGATGCCTTGGTTGCCATGTCTGGTGTATCCGATGTATCGGAATAAGCTTGAGGTTCCTTGTGCGGGATACTCTTTCTTTTATTTTTACTCACAACAGGCTTGTTTAAGTTTTCCTTATGGTTTATGTCTTTGTCCTCGTCGTGAGGTTTGCGATTATTTTCGCCATTATCATATACCGCAGATTGTACAGTATCGTAATCTTTTTCATCCTCTTCAGGTTCCGTATTCGAAAATGGCTTCTTGGTTATGTCTTCAGTAGACCTTTTCTTCATAATCATTTTATTTCTTTGGCTATTTAACTTCCGTCTAGGACGTAAAATTGGGTTTAAGTTGTTAACCGTGACTCGATGGCGCTTAGCAGGCAAATCTGCCAGCATTTTTCTTATGGTTTCCGCTGTAACGAAATAGAAAAAAATAATTTACTTTTGGTATAAAAAAATCGCATGCAAAAATTATATTTATACTAACCGTCACCCACTTCTGAACGTATTTTTGGTCTGGGTCTCATATGATTTTTACGATTATGTGGCGTACGAATATCTTTACGCATCTCTCTACGTATTGTATTATCAGGGAGGCGAGGTCGCCGTTTACGAACACCAAATGGTCGATAACGACATTTCCTTCGCACAGCCGGGGTATCTCCAGCACAATCTAGCATATGCTGATGCAAATCTTCCAATGAAATAGATTTCCTGCACTTAGTGCACTCTCTGATACCTCGTAGTGGTCTAGTCCTATTATTAGGCTGGCTCGGTGGCACATATAAATGTTTTAAAATATCAGATTTAAGAAGAACCTCTCCCACAATTTCGTAATGTTGGATTTGAGCGTTCGGATGTCGCGATGATATATGAGAAGAGAGCGCTCTCGAATCGCGGGTTTGCGCCCCACACGCACAGCATACATAGCAACGAGGCCTGACCCATTCACCACTGAGTACAGCCGGCTTGGGATTGTATGTCTGCGGCGAGGGCACTAAACCCAGTGAGATAGGAAAGTCGAGATCATCACGCGCTGGCAAGGCGTTGTTGTTATATTTTATTATTTGTGAAGACGCTGTTGGAAGTTCGCGACTCTCAAGTATTTCTTTTAGCTCGTTCCCTAAAATGCTTTGTTTCTCAGCCCTTTTTTCCTGTGGCGTTTTGTTAAATTTTTGTTCATATTTCTGGCGCATACATAACTGAGTCCATATGTCGAGACTAGAAACCAACGAAATAATGCAGTTGTTAGTGTGCGAGTCTCGTTTGAATTGTTCAGGATTAAGAAGATTTCTTTCATTTTCGAGTGAATCCCATTTCCACTTGTGTTTAGGAGCGATGGCTCGTGGCAAATATCCGTCAAAGACATTTCTAGAAAACTGGGCACATTCCAAAAGTATTGGGAAGCCTTCCACAGTGTTGATAGCAACACTATTTTTAGATTTTCTAGTTTTTATTGTATTTTCGGGATCGGGATTAAAATTAAACGATCCATCTAGAAATTTTGTCAAGTTCTCTTGAACGTTGCTAGCCACTTTGGAATAGAAGCTGGTATCAAAGCATTTCTCAAACTTCTGATTTGACTCCTCAATATGCCTAGACCAATCCCTTTTATTGAAATCTCCTGCTCTTGGTGACCGGTGTACGACGCCGAGTCGGGACAGTATTTGGTCAGCATCTGTATTATGAAAAGAGAAGTTTGTTGTGGGGGTTCTTTTATTCCATTGTAAATCATCTAATATAATAACTGCGTTTTTCTCGATAATCGCAGAGTTGTTAATATTTTTGGTTGCTGGTAAAATGAAGTTTGTCGTGATATTGTCCTCAATATCAGCAGCATCATGTGCCTGTGAGGTTTTTATTTCGCAAGAAATGACTAGACCGTTAAACTCATGTCCAGCCGTGTTTTCAATCTCATCATCGTATTCGCTTTCGTTGGAATTGTTTAATGTCTTTTTGGCCGCCATTTTTGGCCGCAATTTGTTACGATATGGTAACTTCTGTTTCTCGCAAACATTATGCTTATGTTCAGCTAATTCTGTGGTTGATGGAAATCTAGTATGGCAGTCGTAGCAGGCGAAGTATTGGTTTGGGTGATTATCGACCATGTGTCGTATGATATCATTGGCATCCGCCTCGATATGATTGCAGAATAAGCAATTTATGAGAGTATCGTTTGTGTTTATTATATGGACACCACGAATATGTTTAGAAATAGCTTGTTTAGTAAAGAATGTCTTATCGCAGTAAGGGCATAAGATATGCGGAGCGGGTGATTCAGACTTGTTTATGAGATCATCTGGTTTATTTGGAGAAGCTTTGGACGGGGTGCCGGTTCGTTTAGGTTTCTCCTGAGCGGGTTTAGGGTCCGATTTACGAGTAGTTTTAATGGTCTGAGGACTAAGAGCATTAGCCTTTCGTGGTCTCAACCTTCCATTTAAACCAGACGATGGTTCATCTTCACCCGTAATCATCGTGTTTGGTTCCTCAATCCTAAAAATATATTAATAGCATTTGTTGATGTAACTTTACTTGGACTAATGTATTTTGTGTACTATTTTCCAGAATAATGGTTTCAAAAGTTTTTTTTAAATATATGAATGGATATTTGAAATATCAGATATCCAGTGAATGCTATTAAATATTTTTTTCTTTAGTGTCTGACTTGGTGCAATATTTTGTTTGTAAAATTTACAAAAACTAAAAATTACATCCGATATGCTGGACCAATGTTATTATTATAATTTGTATTTGATTCTTAGTTTTTCCATTAAATTAAATTTAATTTACTGTCGTAGTCTACCTGGAAAAGAAACACAAAAAGCAAAATTAAAGACACAAAAAGTAACAAAAATAAAAAATAATAAAGATGATGACGATAAGGCTTACATGAAGTAGTGACAGAGTAACGTGCACAAATTATATTATGGAAGAATATGTATCCCTAGTAGGCACTGATTGCTTTGCAAGGATTTTTTTTTATGAGTTTAGTATATTGTGTATATGAAGTTTAAAAAAGTATTGTGTGTAACTAGAAAGTGTTTTATTTAAGGTAATATATTTTTCAAACTGATGGAACCACTTGGTGGCAAGTTATATGTCACTATTGAAATAAGACCTACCTACATTATAATATTTAAAAACGCATATTTTTTTTGGATATTTAGCTTACTGAATAAAATAAATGATTACCAATGAATAGCATATCTAGTTACGTTTCCATTGACAGTCCTTTTGACAATTAAATCTTCTTATTCAAGATACTTCATCTAGTTTGTCGACTATTCTGTAAGTTTTTTTATTTTATGACTAAGTATCAAAACATTTATATAAAAAAAAATGTTTGTTTTAGCTATTGGACAAATATTTATATCTTGAACTTATTTAAACCTTACCTTTAAATGTGTAATACTAGATAATTCTTATAGTTATAATTTTTATTTAATAGAAGAATAGATTTTTTTTGTAAACTCTAGTGGAATCGAAACAATGAACTTCTTGCAATAAACACCTTTCATTAACATTTACTATTAAGACCATATATAAAGAAATGCGAGCCGAGTACATCAAGCAAGAAAATTAATTTCATTTTGTTAAGGATATTTTCTTAGCCAGTGAAGTAACAATTCAATTAGTAATGAACACAAAAGACAGTCCACATATGAGATTTATAAAAATGTACCAACTGTTAGAACTATTTGATCTGATCTTTATTTCTCTTACTATATCAATAAATATTTTATCTCGTCGTTTACTTGGTTAGAAATTAGTTTATCATTATTCGAACATTAACTAGCTAAGTATTAAATAATATTAATATGTCCTATTGTCTTCAAAAGTAAACTGGACATATAATGACGAATTGAGAACAAAAATACTATCTAAAAACTTAGAATAGCCACGGTCCAGTTTAACACTGTGATTGTTAAACTCTTTCGAGGTCAGCTATTATCCCGTTGGGGAATTACGAGTTGGTTGTTTGCTACCTATTGCTTTTGCACTCTTGCAAACATCCATCCATCGACACAGAAAGATACGGTTCAAAGCTAACACATTTTTTTAAACAACTTAAATGTAAAACTTGATATTATGTTAATAAAATCATGTAAATGAATGATAATACAGTCACCAACGTGGTTACCCAAATACAGTATTTTAAGATATACTGAAAATATTCAAATATTTTTAATTCGCGTGAATATTTCCATTTGGCCAATCCGTATAACTAACAAATGTGATGAAGATTTAATACAGCAGCGTCAGGCGGACGAATGCTCATGTACCCGTTCATGAATATTTATAGGTAGGAGACGCATCAAAGAGAGAACTTTTAATGAAAAAATACACTTATTCATGAAATAGTTCTATCCGACTATTAATACAAAAGATAGATATAGGACTTACATTTTTACAATACATTTTATGTTTTTCAATTTTAAAAATGGCGATAAGGTAATATCGTAAAGTTTCAGAGATTCCTTGTATTTCTTTAATGTAGATGCTTTATTTTGATATATTATATTTCCTACACGCAAAGTTCTAATAAAATTTCTATTTCAACATTATCTCTCGTTTGACAGACAAGTAATGAACGTTCCTAGAAGGACAACAAATCACCTAAAACATAGTGAATTAGTTTGAAATTGCATATACAATAAATAATAATAATAAAGGATAGAGCTACCTAACATTTTATCAATATAAAACTTAATGACACAAACACGCAACCACGCAATAATCTTATTACAAAACATGTATTAGAGACAAATATAATTAACATTGTAAATCAAACAGACCATCCATCAAACAGTCAAAGAAATGACACTGATGTAAGTAAAGAACAAATACCCATCACCTATACAATCAACAAGTAGTCAACCATCGATACAACAACACAAATTGTCTATCATCTATACAATCAACAAGCGTTCCACCAATCATACAACAACACAAATCATCCATTACTTCTACAATCAACAAGTGGTCAACCATCCATACAACAACACAAATTGTCTATCATCTATACAATCAACAAGCGTTCCACCAATCATACAACAACACAAATCATCCATTACTTCTACAATCAACAAGTGGTCAACCATCCATACAACAACACAAATTGTCTATCATCTATACAATCAACAAGCGTTCCACCAATCATACAACAACACAAATCATCCATTACTTCTACAATCAACAAGTGGTCAACCATCCATACAACAACACAAATTGTCTATCATCTATACAATCAACAAGCGTTCCACCAATCATACAACAACACAAATCATCCATCACCTATACAATCAACAAGTGGTCAACCAATCATACAACCTCACAAATTATCCATCACCTATACAATCAACAAGTGGTCAACCAATCATACAACAACACAAATTATCCATCACCTATACAATCAACAAGCGGTCAACCATCCATACAACAACACAAATTAATTATCCATCACCTATACAATCAACAAGTGGTCAACCAATCATACAACCTCACAAATCATCCATCACCTATACAATCAACAAGTGGTCAACCAATCATACAACAACACAAATTATCCATCACCTATACAATCAACAAGTGGTCAACCAATCATACAACAACACAAATTATCCATCACCTATACAATCAACAAGTGGTCAACCAATCATACAACAACACAAATTATCCATCACCTATACAATCAACAAGCTATACAATCAACCATTGATACAACAAAATAATTTATCAACCAACCATTCAAACAAAGAGGAGTTCTACGTTCATACAACCAAATTAATTTTCCACCAACCACATATTCAACAAATAGGTTCACTATCAAATAGCAAAACCCATCAAAAATCCATACAAACTAAATATAGACCCGAGAACCCGGAACTAATTAAGTTATCAACCAATCATAAATTTCAACCATCTGATTATCAAACACTCTCACTTTCATGAAACCAAAAAAATATTAACAAATTATCATCCCATTCATTAGTAGCACGTTGGTTGCTCAGAAAATAAATTATTAGCAATCATACAATCAAAGTACATTCCAACTAGTTATTCAAGGAAACAACTAGACTCACAAAAACTGACAAGTAATACTTTTATAATATGTATTAGAAATAAGTGTACATAAAAATATTTTGAATGTTTGTGTGTGCCTGTGTGTTGGAATCTATGTTTTGGTGTATTTCCTTGTTTGATTGTTTTTTGTATGCATCTATCTCTCTCTTAGATTGGAAATTTGAAGTGAATGCGCGTGCGCATACACGTGCGGGTGTCGCTTATGTCTGTGTGTGGTTTGTCTGCTTGGTGAATTTTGGGTGTTTAGTATGTATATATGTATTTGTGACCGCGAACTTTTGCCTATATAATCAAGAGTGCGACTCAGTGCCTGTGCGGTCATGAAAAAAAACATTGAAAATAATAGATAACGCCGGCGGGAATGCAACATGAAGACAATGCATGAATACAGCGGAACAAAAAAATATGCGTAGCGTTGAAAAGAATCACGAGAAATACTGAAATACTTCAATGCGGTTAGAAGTATTACCCGGAGGGATTCGAAGTTACTGGAAAAATATTGTACCAGCAGACGGTCGTACCATACATCTAGGTATTAGGTGGTAAGTAGTAGACACTTGGAATACTTACTCGGTCAGAAGGAAGAGGTCCTCGGGTGAGAAGTCATCTAAGCAGTGCTCTGACGCGAACAGATCCGGAGCGATGATGAGCGGCTCCAGGTCAACGTCATGCTTGGGTCCGTTTGTCAATAAACCATCTGGCGGGGATCTACACAGGAGATTCGGACACATTAGTGACACTCCACGTGGACCACAACAGCCACCTACAGTCACCCTACAGTCACCTCCTTAACTAACCGAACCATCTAGGAATTCATTTTAATATAGCCGCGTTCTAACAACAAATTTGAGGCGCAAAACAAAGCGCAGTCATATTCGCATCGCGGAGCAATCCAACTGCATTAATTGCGGGTATACCGTTAATGAAGCGAACATGGTCGACGGAATAATACGTATCTCTAGAAGTTGCGAATATTATTGAAAAAGAAAAGTATTTATACAACTGCAACTAAAGACCCAGCACCGCGCCACCCCAGATACACTCAAGTTTCAACTCGCGACCTCCACCACCGCCCACAACCCTCCCCCCCCCCTCCCGTCCACGTAACTCAAACGCGCGCACGACCCCTCCCCCCAGCCTCACTCCCCTGAAAACCCCTTTCAAGCCCTCGGCCGCCCACGTCATAGATGCACCCGGCAAAATACCTAATTGTTTGTAATTACAACAAACAAATGAAGTGCCACGAAATATTGACGTGGATTAAAATGAATTCCACGAGATTCATGATATTTTAACGAGGTCAAAAAGTATTTTATATCATCTTTAATTTTGTGAAATATTATATAATATTCAAAGCCCCTCGATATGTGAATATCCAAACCGACAGATATCGACTTTTATATGATTGTTAATGACCCATACTCAATAAATAGTACACAACACGTATGTCGTCTAATGATCGCTGAGCGCGAGATTTATTCGCCAGGTTCGTTTGCAAAACGCGGGAAATCGCAGACAGCATTCAAAACTTTGCTCTACTACTTGCACAGTTGCTTGTGTTATTTAACTATGGCTTATTAAATATACACAAGTAAATGAGAACCTTTTAACAATATTTAGTTTATGTTCTTTATAAAAGGAAAACTATATGCTAATAGTCAAGGTTGTCATTTATCGCAACAGTTTAAAAATATTATCGACAATTAATTTGGTAACACAAATTATTTGTCAATAATAGCATCGAACATGTAAAACAGTATAACATTCGCAAATACATGTACATTACGGAAAAAATAAAAGTGGAGCAAAGCGCATAAAACAATAGATAAAGTAGGAGGGGAAGAGATCGCGGAGCTGAGCTTTGAAAGACCAACTGGATGTGATAAAAATATATGGGAACAAAGGACTGGGAGCGAGGAGGCTGGCGGGCTCTGCACTTACATGGATAGTTGTGGGGCGGCGCTGAGCGCCCGCCCCCGGTGAAACGCAGGCCCGCACGTGGCGCCTTCTCCTCGCTGGTGCCAATACGCAAAGAACCGCTAGTGAGTTGTTCACAGAGGAAGCGCGTACGCACTACCAGCCAGCACCGGCTCCAAACTGATACCGATCAAAAACACCTGCAACATACATACACGATAATAGTCACGGACTCACGAGCTAACTCTGATGGACAACTAACTCTGACACCCGGCCTACATCAATTAATGACTGAGAAATTTTGAAAAAAAAAATTTAAAGAAACTGCAATTAAAAGTCAAAACAAAACAAAAATAGGACGACGCGGCTCGCGGTACATAAAGTTTCAAATTGAAAGCATCTCCAATAATGAAGTAAAAACGGAAATACGATAAGGAAATAAATTCATCACTGTTTTAAAATCCACCAACTATTATTTAATAGCCTTTAATAAAACCCGGATATCGTTCTAAGTCCCTAGCTGTGTATGTATGTACCTCGGAAGAGAGCGAGTTGATGGTACCGCGACTTGTTGCCGACTGAACCAGGCTGAGCGTGGTCTGTGATAGATGCCAGAGCAAGCCCGACTGAACCAGCTCTCGGAGGCTGCGAGCCGGGAGAGGGCTAGCGGCGGCGGGGGTGACGCGGGGCGGGCTGGGCGGCCGGGGAGGCTCGGGCGGCAAGGGACGGTGACGGGCGGCGTGAGGCGGCCCGGGGGAGTCTACCCTCCGCCGGCTACCCAACTACTAGCCCTTAGGGCGCACGACCGAAAGAATTATGCATTTTTTTAAACCATCTACCCCCTCCCTCCTCCTCACCTCAGTCAGACCTTGCAGTCGCATCCTCCTTACCTTCGTCCTTTATAATTACAAATCCGGTTAAAGAAATACTGATGCCGAAACGACCTAAACGAGTGACTTCTTACAAAACTATATAGTATATCGTTACGATCAATCATACATTAAGTCGAGTCACATGTTTTTCAGTAAGTTTGTCTGCATGTCTTTATTAAATGCAATGCAACGTTATATATGTGTAGATGTATGTAGATGACATTGTTTATGACAGTAACATAAACACAGCACAGTGTGTCACCGGCACAAAAGATGGGCGTTGGATATAATAGCAGCAGCACCGAGAATAAAGAAGCAATATTGATTAGTTGCATTGCGCATGGATGTCAATGGCTGGATGGTATATTTACTCGCAGGCTGGGCGGCCAGCGCCGGCCCCGGCCTGGGAACGGCTGCGGGTGCATGCAACATACACTCACCAACATCATCATCATTTAACATGACATGACATGAGATCTTGACCGACAATGTCAAACAACGTTAATCTTGTATAAGAGAAAAATCAACGGCCATATGATTATCACAACGAGACATTTAAAAACTTTTCATTGAAATATTAAAAAACACATTAAAATTAGAAAATACCCATAAGATGACAAGTTATTACTCTTCTATTTTTTTATAATCATATCTTATAAGATAATCTTTCATTTATAAAATAAAATTAGTTAATTTTAAACTGTAATATGTTCCATACAATAAACGTTTTTAAATATTAAAACTGAATGAAATCACTTTAAAATCGTGTTAAGTTTCGAATTATGATTTATTAATAATAAAAAAACTTAGTGACCTAATTTTAAATTCATCTCAGCATCCAATTTTGATTGGTCAGTGGCAGGAGCATTGTTTTCATGAATTCAAGTTTTTCAAAACAACCCGATGCTGTGATGTGTTTATAGCAATAGCTTTACACACGATCGTTGGGATAGGTCATGGGTTTGTGATTCCATAAATATTATCAGCATATTATATTTTTATACCAACACTAATTGACATTAGCGTTTCATTTAAAACGTGACCCTGCATAGTGAAGCTAGTTATCTAGGCGGACGGCTTTTGATCTGTTTATAATTTCTTCAAAAAGTTATTTAACATTTCACCTCTGCTGTAACTAACTAGAACAATTAAAAATCTTCACCGTCAAAGATACTGGCGGACGGTCTCGTTATATAAAACTCAGCTTTGTACTTGGTCTCATTGCACTCGGATTATCTTTAACGTCGTGTGCCGGGTTACAGTCAAAGATTAGAAAAAAATCATATTTCAAGTACTAAAAGTTGGTGCAACGTTTTATCTTAATGTCGTATGAGCGAGTGAGTCCTGTGAGCATTGTTAACAAACGTCCTTCATCAATTGGAGCGTTCATAACAGATATAGACAGTCAATAGTCGGTAGTTGGTGTGTCTTCAGAGATACTATTTGGATGAAAGCTGGCTTAGTATTGTGTACATGTACATTCTCAATTCACCGGCACGAGAGGGATTCTGTTTGTAAATTCATTCCGATACTGCATGTCAATAGTAATGTAGACATTATTTAATAAAAAACTTTCATATTATCATTATTTATTTTTTGTTTCTGTTTAGGATCTTTAAATTATATTGCGGACTAAATTGTAATGTTAAGACATGAATGTCAAATTCTTTATTAGTTTGCTTACTAGTTCTAGACATGAACGATCGTTATAATACGGAAAGCAATGTAAATCGTAGGAACATTACATGTGACTTGTTTAGGAGACCTCGTTTTCGTTTATAGAGTTCATTTCATAATTTAAGTATATTTTATGAATATTTCATCATTTCTTGCTATTCTTCTATAATACTTATTCAATATTGTTTCATCGCAACGAGATACGAGCGAACGCCATGAACTAATGTTGAGACAGATCAAGGAAACTTAAACACTCACTTGCTAATGACATAATGATGAACATATAACACAAAAACATAAGAGATCAAACAGATGATGAGCTTATAAAATTATTAGATAGACAATGGTCGATTTAATTAACAGACAATCAGAGCGTATAATTACGGTTCGTATTCACCATCGAGTGACCGCTCGAGAGCGTTGGGAATGACTCTCAAGTACATATTATAGGCACTCCAGCTGTACCAAACTAGACCTGATTAAATTATTAATTAACAACTCCTACTTTCAATATTCGATGAGATGCCACCGACCGACTGTACTGAAAAAGTTCTCGTATTCAACGTTGTTTGCATACAACACATAATATACCCAACTATGTACAGTTATCAATTATTTTCAAAGTGTTACATAATCATCCGTAATCCTCGCGACTAACAAGGATATGAATATAACATTTTCGTGTAATTTCCCATATTGACTTTAACCGAGTCGGTTTCTTTGTCACCTAGTTAATGCCCACCGCCTCACTTCCATAACGTCCTAAAGTGCACTTTATACAAGCTGCTACGAACAAAGAAGTCGCCGCACGCTAAACGCTAACCTATTAGAACAGTCACTTATATATTAATATTTAAAGATCATCCTTTACAACCGTTGGCGATGTCAACAAAGAAACAAAGCGTGAACGCTATGGGGTAATTCACTCATTAATTTTAAATACATATCGACCTCTAACAGAAATGCAGACTCGTCTGACCACACCCTTTATTAGGGACGAATTAATTTTTACTGTTTTTTTTTATTCAGACGCTGACAAACGGTGTTCAGAGTACAACGATTCGTTTCCTCGGACTTAACTCTTAGAAGAGCCTCTGCTGCCAGCCTGCTGTCTGCCTCAGATAACATTAAATGCTGTCTCTTTGCTTTTAGTGACATTCATAATCGCATTTACCACAATAGCTGCTGTTACGTTTTGATAGCTAATAAAAGTAGACATTTTAATATAGCGAGGAACACAAAATCATCTTTTTTAATGTGAACTCTCACACACTCCTTTTCTGTATGTAACTATATGTATATATACATATATGCGTGTGTGTGTTTTTGTAAATGCAATATGGTTTTGGTAGTAAGGATCATGTAGCTTTCGCAAAATAGAAAAACCACGCTGAACATTTTCTAGGAAATAAAATGATTTTAAATAAATTTACATATTTTTTCCAGGGGTTTCAATAAGTCTTGTAGAATATCATGTATCCGATTTTAAGTTAAAAGCTTTTAACATTGGAAACTCGTTAAAAATAGACGGAGCGTATAAAACAATATGTATTTTTTGCTTCCAACTCTCATATAACATTAATTAAAATTTTATATATACGTTATTTATTCTGAAAAATATTACAGAGAGGTTTTTCATGGTTTTTTATGGAATAAAAATGAAAAGAAAAAACCTTTGCGAATCAAATAACATAGGCGAGCGTTGTTTTAAAAATGATTAGACAAATATAGTGAACCAAAACGTACAATAACTATATTAAATAACACATATATATATATATACATAGAAAAAGAATGGACATGTATCGAACATATCGGAGGTAGATTAATGATTGGGAAAGTAAGTATGAGATGGGACAACGTCAAATGTCCGTCTGACAATTGAATTAACAGACGTCGCCGGGACCTGTTACATGAGAGGTGGGAGGGGGGCGGGGGTGTCGTTAAAGAAACGTACACATTAGTATAAAACTACCAAACTTCCTAAACGACCGAACGAAGTCATGTTATTTTTCTTTATAATGTTTATTTTTCATGTGAATATTTAGAATAGGATAATATAGTCAAAAATAGTACCGAAGATTATAGGTAAAAAATAGAAATATTGGAAATTCACATACAGCATGTTCTGTTTTTGTGTTTTATAAAAATTATAAGTCGCAAAATTTTTTAGGAAGGGCTAAATCGTTAAGAAGCTTCATTATATAATATACACAACAATTAAATTGCTCAATTGTTGTCAAGATCTCAAACACGTAACTATTACTAGTGTGGAATGCAACCTAATGTATTTCCAAAATATTAATTAAATATTCAAAAATCCGAACATATAACATATTAAGAAAGAAAAAAATATTAAAAATTGTTTAATTTCCTTTGTACATGAATTATACTCCAATAATAACGAGCGATGGAGAATTAATAAGCAAACAAATGTTTGACAGGTGGCATGACGAATTAATGTATGTATCATCCTATAAAGTTATTTATTTATCTGACAACCAGAACTTAGACCTCTACCAATTGTCTCTTTAGATCATTATTGAAGGCTTTTGTACGTAAATTATACGTCATGAGTTATGGCTATACCGAGTTAACTGTATACTGTGTATCGCCGCGGGTATCAATAATAGGTAGCTCACAAAGACAACGGCGACGAGGACGCGGGTGCCACATGTCCAATTCACACATTATATTATAACAAGAAACAAAAGTACGTCCGTAAAAGCTGCAACGGCCTTAAAACTTTCAGCGGCGGGGATCGATAGTCATTTAATACTTTTCAAAGCGTCACAGAAACGTGCAATTACTCCTTCCCTGTAACAACGGAGGGCTATACCTAGGTACACCTACCTACCTATATAGAACAATTACATGAACAGTGATGCAACATTTTTAGTATCCTTAAGGATGTATCATTATCGATGTCGATCATTTCGTTCGTCATTCATTATCGATACATTATTGTAACATAATAATATATTAAAACGACTTCCATTCAACCTTAATAGACATCTAATCTAGACGACATCCACCTTATGTACTATGAGACTAATTCTTTGTTTTTTATTAAGAACCTAGTATTCCACTAGTGAGATGAAATGTTCTGTTTCACACTCTATTTACAACAACACGATACAAGTTAGGTCCTTGTACTTCTCGTCAGATTTATTCGTCTTCAAATATAACAAAAGTTATGCACATATCATATCCGTTTGTTGGCTTGTATATCT